AAGTAGACAGGTAGCTAAGTAGCTTAGTAGTTATATATATAGAATATATAATGATGATGCCCTTGGGTCTTGGCTATGATGTTGGAAGATTCTGAGTTAGTAAAGGACAAGATTCTCAAAGCCTGCATCTTTGTCTTTGTAAATGCTCAAAATTATATTAAACTAGTCATCATCAGTCAATTATATATATATAGGGCTAGCTAATTAAAGGCATATGTATACAATCCCAATTCAATTCTTTTGTAACGAATGATGTTAAAGTTTAGCAGTATAAGTTTGATACTCTATAACAATTTTCCACTCATGTGTAGGACATGTTTTATTGAAAATTAAAAGAGTACGAAAATTATGTTCTACCCACTCAGTCACTCGTTCCAAGATTTATTAAACACTGCAATATCACTGCCTTTTATATATACCACAATAATGCTGAAAACGCAAATAGAGACAATTTTATAAGAAATTACTTTTTTTCTCTTTTTTCCGTATTTGATAGTGTCAAAATGATTTCACTTAAAAAAAAAAAAAAGCGTTAGTGACTAAAAGTAGTAAAAGGAATAATACTGAATTTCTTTCCATATATATATATATTTGAAGGTTTTTTTTTTTTTTTTGAAAGTAAATAAAGAATGAGTAGTGAGACTAGAGTGATTAGACAGCAAGGTCTTAGGTTGTGATGATGAAGTACTATGAGGAAAACAAAGGCAACCACCTGTTGTTTCATGTTGTGTACTGTGGGAATAGGGCCATGAAGATGATTCACAAAAGATTACGGTGCTCATTGCAGGTGCCTGCCACTTTTCGCTTCTTGCATTATTTAGCACATAAACAAAAAGATATGACAAGGATATTGAGACACTTTTACGGATCTTAATCTATGAGACGGATTGAGTTAAGATAAAAATGTAATACTTATATTGGAAAATATAATACTAATTTAGAATAAAGTGTTTGTTACTTATAAGGAGAAGTATAATACTTTTAATGAAAAATACAATAATTTTAAATTAAAATGTAAAAATATATTCCACTTCTACCCGAGATCATGGCTGTACGGGAGGCCATAGTCTCTCTCATGGTTGAGGAACTGGGGCTTTGTGAATGTTCGGGTTGAGTATGATTGTTTGGTTTTTTGTTCTAGTCTTGACTCTTGAGCACCCTAGTTTAGTTCGTCCTTATGTTGGTTTAGTTTTTGTACTCAGTTAATCAACTCTATTCCGGACAACAAAGTTCTATTTATCCATAGGTGCGATAATTAGGCTGCCCATGCATTGATTAATAACGATGTGGGAGCTGACTCTACTTGCTTGGAGTGGTGTGATGTACCACCTCCGTCCTTGCACCGTTTATTGATGATCTAATACAATTTTGTTATTGGTTTTCAAAAAAAAAATATTACATTTTTCTTCAGAAATATTATATGTATTTTCCTTTATAAGTAACAAATACAGAGTACTTTATTATTGATTAGTATTACATTTTCCAGTATAAATATTACTCCGTATATTTTTATCTTAATCCGACCAGTTTTAGACAGTCTCACTCAAGTTTTTGTCATACATGTTTTGATATGATTCTTCATGTCATATTATGTGATATGATTCTTCATGTCATATTATGTGACATAAGGGGAGCTTTTTATGAAAGAGACCTGGAAATTTATTTTCATATCATATCAACATATGCTTTATTTATATTATTTTCGTTACAAAATTCCTGTGTTCTCCAGCTAAAATTATTGTTCACTTTTGATGTGATAATTTTAAATAAAAAAAAACTCTTTATTTTATTAATTGTTGTAAATTGACTAATGATCGACTTTACTGTGAGTTTATAAAAAATCACATAAATTAAATATAAAAAATAATTTAATATAATATTCTTCAAATAATTATGAATTTGAGTTGATATATGATTTTCATGAATCTCAATTTATTTCTATCTCTTTCAATATGTATCAATACCTTTTACTTTTCCACATGTATGTGAACTTGTGATTTGCTAGCTAGCTTGGCTTATTGTTGAAAATTGATATCTTTGAAATTTGTCAAATTTTCCTTCTAATTGATATATTCTCTTAAATTAATAATAGCTATCCATTGATCTTTAATTTATGCTTCTAATTGATTTTATTCTTTTAAATCATATATATTGATTTTTGTTATGATGCCTCATATATATGCTTAATGCATTATAAAGACCCTTACATTTGGTATCAATATTATTTGTGCTTAATTATTTTATTCTTTCAATTCTATCTTGTCACAGCTTATTTAATTTGGAGAATGCATGTTATCATATATATGATAAAATAATACTCCGTAGTTAATATATAAGTATATATACTTGTCTATTATTGTGCTTTGATCAATTCATATTTGTTACTTGACTATACATGGTATTATACATATTCTATAGTTGAAAAATAGGAGCTAATGTGAAAAATGAGAATAAATATTGATTGTCCATCTCAAGAAAAAAAAAATGGTCGGATGTAGATCTGACTTAAAAAAAAAAAATAGTGATATTTATGTAAATAAGTCAAAGTTTATTTATTTATTTTTGTAAATTCTATTTCCTATTTTAAAATAGTCTAAATTCAACAATTATTTTTCATTTTTTTCAGTTCTAAGTCGTAACAAGAACCGTCCCTACTATTTCAGTTCGATTACTATAGTGCCCGATTTGGTTCAAATCGAACCGTGATCATCCCTATATATAAGTAATAATTTGTTAGAAAAGAAAAAAATAAATGAAATAATTACTTTAAGGGCAGAAATGGTCATTTAATATTAAAGGGAGAAAATTGTCACTTTAAAAATAATTGAGGGGCAAATATGTATATATGAGTAACTGAGAAAGAAAAGTACTATAAGTTTTTTTTTTTTTAAATGTTACTTTATCAACCTACTGAAACACAAAGAACCAATAACGTCTTCACTGAGGCTCGAACTCACAACCTTCCAAATGGAAGTCCAACTCGGGTACCTATCTGTAATTTCATAATTGGTCCAAAAAGTGGATTATTTGATCTGTAAAGGAAATTGATGGGATAGTGAACCTAGGCTAACCAAAATAAATTATTATGGCCCAGCCCAAACACTGTAGTTGGACCCAATGACATTGCAACCTCAAGCCTACAAGTATCGACCAAGATTAATGTAATTGGCAAATTTTAGCGTGGACAATAGTCCAAAACGGTGTCGTTTCTTTTAATGAAAAACGGTACTCGTTCTATGTAATTAGTTGTGCTAGCTTGTATAACATATATTCGGTTTCATTTTATATATATTGTAGTTTTATTTTAGCACAATAAAAGTTTCATTTGATTTCAAGTACAGTTTCATTCGACATTATATATAAAATGAGACATGTTATTGAATTTCATTTTATACTCATTGTAGTATTATTACAATACCACTAAATTATAATTATAATTCAACTACGATTTCATTGGACAAAATACACTCTAATATGTGAAGTTATTCAGTTTCATTTTATATATACATTGTAGTTTCATTACAACACAACTAAAGTATCATTTTGATATAAGTACAGTTTCATTTGACAATATACACTCAATATGTGAGATATGTTATTCAGTTTCTTTTCATTTTGTTATAAACACACATAAAATATAGGATTTATTAAAATTTAATGACGGTCATTTCTTTACTTAAAAAAATGACACCGTTTTCAGACCATGATCCACAGTATAACAATTGAATGTAATTAATGATTTTATAGCAAAATTTCACTTTAAATAATATAATAATCTTTTTTCATTATTCTTCCTATGTTCTTCACTAGTGAATTTTTATACTATCAATTAGCACCTTTTTGTGTGAACCTAGACAAAGAGTTAATGATTACATCAACAATTCGATCACTAAACGTCCAATTAACCGTGTAGACACTCTTTTTATTTAATATTAAATCTTTCCAGTAAAATTTTATTTATTATCTCACCTAGCTAATAATAAACCTCTGATCTTTTTATTCATTTATATATAGTTATATAAATTGATTGACTTCACCCCACATTAAAAAATATAGATAATTTATTTATGAATCATTTACGATTCAATTATTTGATGGTGAAAATCCCTATAGCATGATCCAAAAAATTAAGGTAGCATTACTCTTTTCTTGAGTAAATAGGATAGTTTTAAATTTCATTTTCAAATTAGGGTACTTTTTGACATTTGAGTTGTTATCACCACTTGATCACACACTTTGCCGTGCTATATATGAAGGTTACAAAATATGTTGGGCGCCAGAGGTCCGCCTAGCGTCTAGACGGAATACAAATAATAATAATAATAATAATAATAATAATAATAATAATAATAATAATAATAATAATAATAATTTAAAGATTTTGTGTGTGTGAATTGTTTTCTATTAGCATACAATATAATACGAATGGTGAAACATTGGAACATAGATTTATTAGCATGCATACAATATTATATTAGTAAAACAAAATTTAAACTCAAATTATTCTTCCACGCTAACATGCATATATTAGCCGGGTACACACACACAAATATTACACATGTCTCTAGAATTACAGAAAAAAAATAAATAAAATAATAATAACTCGGCCAAGTCAATCGAGTTGCTGTATCGAGTCGGCCAGCTAGGCGAACGACCGACTAACTTAAATGTTATTAAAAAATTAATTTAAATTTATTATACCCTATTTTAGTAAAATAAAATTTGAAATTAAACTAAATCTCTAATTTGGAAGGGGAAAACAAGAAACAAAAAAAAAACAAAAACAAAAAACAAAAACTCCTATTTTCATATATAAATTAATGAGTTTCCATATGCTTAGTGTTATGAAGTCTATAAAATTCCATCTCCAATACCATCAGAATCCTCTCCGATATACTTTCTTCCCACCATCTCTCTCCCAACTTCTCAAATCTTCAATCCCTAATTAATCTCTCTCTCTCTCTCTCTCTCTCTCTCTCTCCCTCTCCGATCTTTCAACACTAGTATCTGTTAGGAAATCGATATTGATGTTCCGGCCGGACCGCCGATGATGTCTCCGGTGATCAGCGAAGTACTCCTCTCAGGATTGACCATCTCCTCCACCCTCCGCCGCCGCACCCACCTGGTCCAATCCTTCTCCGTCGCCTTCCTCCACTGGTTCTACGTCTTCTCATGAACAACCTCGATCAGCTCCCCTAATCATCACCAAATTAAACCCTAGCCTTTTTATTTCATATTTTCTCCATCTTAATTCAATTATTAGTACAGCATAGCTAGCATATATAATAAATTGATTATAAGAAACAGTAGCATGGCTTGTTCTAGCGGAACTTGTTCAGGATCAAGCGTGAAATCGCAAGAAGATTCGCAGATGATGATGATGATGGATCAGAGGAAGCGCAAACGCATGATATCGAACCGGGAATCGGCGAGGCGGTCGAGGATGAAGAAGCAGAAGCTTCTGGATGAACTAACGGCCCAGGTGAGTCAACTCGAGGCGGAAAACACCCATATCCTGGCCAATCTCGACGTGGTGACTCGGCTTCGCCTGGAAGTGGAGGCCCAAAACTCGGTCCTCATGGCTCAGGTGGCGGAGCTCAACCACCGCCTCCGCTCCCTCAACCAGATCCTAAGCAATATGAGTCCCACCAATAGTTCAACTTGGGATGATGATGATGATGATGATTTCTTCAACCCATGGAATATCATCCCTCTCATAGCTTCTCCTAATGCTATGGTTGAATACTAATCGCGGTTTAAATTATGTTCTACATCGAATGCAAGTGTTAAACTAGAATGTTTAATTTGTACCATGTCAATTGTTTTTATCTTTTTTTTTTTATGTATAATAAAACAACTTATAAGCTTATTTATTATTATTATTGCGAAAAAATCTATGATATTTGTACATCATATTTGTACGTTAAATCCGACAATCTCACTTTTTAAGTAACTAACAAAGAATTATATTAAGGTAAATCAATCTAAATTGTTCATAATTATATAGGCTGCTCTTATTTTAAAGTTTTTTTTTTTTAATTAGCGAAATTACACTATAATAGGTTTGATATATAGTGGTATTAAAATTTATAGATAAAATAATAGAAAAAAAATTGAATATAATTATTATCACATTCAAGATATATATTATATTAATATGTTTTATTTATAATATTAGGTTTAATTGGTTCCCATCCTTCTGTGGCATCTAACTCATCAATAACTCATTCTTGAAATATACAATGGAGAAAATTCTTTTTATAGAGTTTGTATTGAAAAAAATTATTATACTCCAATTAATTTAGTTTAGTCAAATAATGAAAGATTATTGGAGTGACAAAAAATAAAGGCAGATGATGACATGAAAGATTGAATGATTAGACAAGACCACGAATTTATCATCTTATAATTAAACACATTGATTACTAAAGGACACAATACTATTCCACATCAACACTACAATTATTAATAAAAATGTATTTTATATATCGTTATGAATATTTATTTCAATAATATATAAATACAGACACACACAAAAGATCAGAATCAAAGTAAACACATATAGTACTCCGTCTTAAGAAATCACCCTTAGCTAGTATATTCCTTACCATATGGAGTATATGCAAGTTAAAGGGAACATAACATGTGCAAGTCAACTTAGTACAAAAAAATTAGCATAAATTGTGCTTCCTTCCTTATAATTTATTTGTTCTTCACTAATATATTTAACTTAATTTTGCCATTGAGTTTATTGATTGTGTGTACGATGGATACCTAACAAGAATACCTAGTCGACGTATTAGATCAGTCAGGCGAAAGAGGTAGTCAGCGCGTCAACTAGATACGGGTGAAAGATCTAAATAGGCGTCCTAAAGATCCGTCGCCATATTCAGCTATTCACTCTAAATTTCTTTTCAGATTTAAGAAACAGGATCTCGCACTTTAGGAAAGAAGTCCAAAATTGATTTAGGGAAGTTAGTCAAGTTAAATTTGTAAATCTTTTCCTTTCTTTTTATTGGGCTAATCGCATATGTATAAATACACCCCGTACCCAGGAACATATTGTAAGGAGTTCGAATTCTGCTATCTAGCAATAAAATTACTTTGACATTATTTACGATAGTGTTAACCGACCAAATTCCTTCTTTCCCTTCTCCATCCAAAGTACAATTACAGTACATTACTTGCATCATACGGCATGGTTTGAATTGATTAGATCGGAGTTGCCAAGTTGGCCACTTCACATAATTAATATGAATTATATTATTGTAATATTTATTACAGTTTAATACATATATCATTTTTCTATGATAAAGTTAAAAAATTATATTTATCGTAAATTTTTTTCTAAAGAAAATTATTTTGTATGTGAATAGTATTACATCATAAACAACCATATATTAATAAATACTATAACAAAAATACAATTTACTCTGTATTAATTAAAATGTTGGGGTATAGAAAATATTTGAGAGGTCTTTCCACCCTATTATATTAACCAAAATTTCCTTATAATCTCATTAATCAAGTGAACTAAACAAGAAAATCATGCACCATAAATCCAACATAATGAAATTTAAATATTAGCTAGCTCAATAAAATTATAGATTAGTGGTAATTGATACAACCGACAAAGAAAAAAAAAATTACATTTTGTCTACTCGGGAAAAGAAAGGTGACATCTTGTGATGTCGGTTGAATATTTATATATGCTGTTAATTTTTTTTTTTTTTAATAGCTATGGACCGTAGGTATTATTATCAGTATAAAAAAAATGAAGACAAAATTAATAAATAAAGTATTGCCAGCTAGCTTTTGAAATTTAAGTTTTGACATCCGAGTCATTACATCAATTTAATGAAGTGGTGTCTGTTCTTGTTCCCATATTTCCATTATAGTAATGCACTATTAAATTAATTAATACAGCTTTTTCACAAAGTATATTTTGACTGCTTGTGGTGTGTGTATATATAGATTAAGGATCCTGTGAGAACAGTATCATAGGAGAGAAATAAGGATCAATCTCAATTTTATATTTATAAAAATTTGACGGATCTAATTAGATTTTAAAAAGTGTGGTGACATTTTCGTGACATAATAATGATAATGGTAATACTAATACTAACTATTTGTTTTACTTTATTATTATTATGATGATTATATATGGATGGTCATTATACAATTGGAATGACATATATACTTTATGCTTTATTAGGCTGTGTTTTAATTTGCTTAAATTCTTAGAAAGTTGTTAGGTCATTGGAGTCTGAATGGTATTGAGCTAGTATAGTTAAGAAAGAATATTGTCTTATTGGCAATTTAAAGCATGTGGCCAACCATGCAATGCAGCCACTTTGAAGAAGATTCCATAGACACATGGTTAATGATGATGCATGTTTTTTTTTTTTTTTTTTTTTTTAATTTCAATGTCTAATTTCATCATTTGAATTCGTTTACTTAACCTTAGCTTGCAAGGTTGCTAATTTAGCATACTTGTAAACATTTACAAAATCTACAATTTTACAGTTTTTATAATTGTTTTTCTTTTAAAAAAATTATTATTTTATTATTGTTGTTAAAAAGTGAGTTGTAATTATAGAGATTTGAAATTGGAAGCTCACTTTTGAAAGTAAGTTGGACTTGTAGGTATGTAGAGAAAATAGTAAGAAAATTACAAATTTGATGATCTGTAGGACTTACTTTTGAAAGTGAGATAAACTTACAGGGATAAGGATAGCATAAGGTTGTCCTCATCCCCAAAAAGATGGGAATTGCAATATGACATGACATGCTTTGTGAAAAATTAAAAAAAAAAATATTTTTATTATTTTTATTTTCTTACATTGATTGTAAGGGCATCCTCAACAATGGGAGTTTTGGTGTGATATTTGATGAGTTTTTGTAGGTGTGATTAGGAAAGAGAAAATGAGAGGAGGTTAAAAAAAATAAAAAATAAAAAAACAAAAACAAAATGTCAGCAAAAGAAACAAGAAACAAATAAAAACACCTTCAAACGCAATACTGGGCGCGAATGTGCAGCCAACGCTTCATTTTCTGCTTGCTACTTTTCTTTGTGGGGTCCACACAAGGGGACAAAGAGTCTCAACTCCTGCAACACACTCTCTCCCTCTCTCTTATCCACCTCACACCTTTTTCTCTCAAAACTTGTGCACAACCCCCTTAGGGCATCCCCAATAAGGGGATTATTCACGTTGTTTTAAGAAAAGTTGCTTACATAGATGAAAGAGAATGAAGTGAGAGAAGGTTTGTGGTGCTTATGTTAATATGGAGATTTTGTCAGCTTGTGGGCCCCAGTTGAAGAAAGAGACAGATGGTGGTTTTGATTTTTGCTTCACAATTCCACTTTTTGCTTTTTTAATTTACTTTTCTTATTTTGTTTTGGTTTTTATGTTTTATTTTTATTTCTTTCCATTTTCTCTTTCCTAATCACACCTATAAAAACTCTTCAAAAATTACACCAAAATTTCCACTATTGAGGATGTCCTTATTGGGGTTGCTCTAAGCTTGCATTTTTTGCAAGCTTGCAAAGTACACAAATGCCCATTTTGTAATTTTCTCCACTTCATTTTTTTCATTGATTATTTATAATTTATATTGACTAGTTTTATTTATTATTTTTTTTAATGTGATGTGAAATTAGAACACATTTTTTAAAGTGTGTTGGAGTTGCAAGGATGTAGAGAAAATAATTATTGAATTACAAATTTAGTAATGAAGAAGTATGACATACTCTTAAGTCTTAAATGTGAGAGAGTAGCCTAAGCAAGGATCAAAAGACAAGGTTTAAATTCTTTTCCTTTTCTCGTCATTTAAGGATATAAGTTTTAAATAAATAAATAAATGTTATTATGTTTGTTAAAGTGAAAAGAATTATTTCGCCCGTGTTTAGAAAGTATTTATAGTCCCTTTCAAAAAAAAAAAAAAAAAAAGTATTTATAGTCTTATTATTTTTGGATGATAAAAAAACAGAGAGTCACCCTCCGATGATAAACTCTATTTGAAACTCAAATTTGTTGTGTATAGAATTGGTTTTCCCGAATCGCCCAGCCAGCAACAGTTTGTACAAACAAGCAAACATTAAATATTGATTGCCAGCCAAGAAAGAAATGAAAGCCTGGAACTACTACATACAATACAGTCTATGATCTTTTGTTCTTAGCACTCTTCGCCCTTTGCAGCACATCCTGCAAAACGCCACCAATCCGTTCTTCCATATGCTGCTCCAAAAATACTTCTTTCACCCTCCCGTAACCCTTCTTTCCCATCGTAAGCCTCCTTTCGACATGAGAGGCGAGGTTCACTATGTTTCTTGCCAGAGGCATTACCCCGCCTTTCCCCACGGGGTGCAGTAACCCAGTTGTTCCGTTTAGAACGATTTCTCGAGTACCACCAGCTGCTGTTCCCTGGAACGCAATTTGCAATGGAGCAAAAATCAGAGGTTCATCAAGCTATAAATGGGCATGGGGAAAGAGGTTTATTAAGATTATAGATCAAATAAACCACTTTCTAAATATTTAGCAAAGCTTATGGATTACTCTGTATTATACAACACTTTTTAACTTGTTCGAGCAAATAATCCTCTGTATGTAACTTGGAGTATAAATATGAATTATTCACTTACAGAATCAAAAAAATCATAAGCACAAGCTTTAGCAAACAGGATGAAAGCAGTTTGAAAAAGGAGGAACGAGGATATGGAGAAATCACACAGAAATTACCAACACAGGAAGCTGAAATGCCATGGCTTCAATGGTAATCCTACCAAAACATTCTCCCCGGGCCTACATGGATAAAAGTTGGAGGAAAACAACCAAATTAGAACTTGAAGTAGACTTTCATACCATTAAAAAAAAAAAAAGGAAGTCTGCCCCAAAACTATACTCACAGAAACTGAATATACAAGGAGTTTTCTCAATTATGTTTTTGAAACTTAAACATCCAACCAATACCAAAGACAGCAATATAGAATCTTGGCAATTTTTTGGTACAACTCAACTAACACTTAATCTCAACCTAGTTGGGTCTCAATTACTTGCAGAAATAACAGGGTTCTTTCATTCTTTCTACCATTTAAATGAAACATATCTTTACAGTTCCCTGGAGAAATTGTGAGAAAAACAAGCAAGGCTAAGAATCTACTACAGTCTTCCACCAGTTTTATGTCTTAGCTGAAGAATGAAATAATGAATGAGTGCTAGGTTTAAGAAGGCAATAAATACTCCAAAGAAATTAAAGCACTAACATGAACTGCTCCAAAATGAGAATATCTTTTTCTCTGAAAGTAAGCTTCTACTGCCATAAAATCATTCTCTTTGCAACTTTAAGTAAATGATGTATGGTTAGAGAACTGGGAGAATCAAACAAGAGTTAAGGACGATGTCAGATTGTACTTGTAGCTTAGCAGAATAACAAGCTTTAAAAGGAGAGAAATGTACATAACCAAGAGCTATATGAAATGTGTACAGATCAACACCGCATGCTTTGGAATCGAAGAAAATGGGAAACAGTAAAACACTTCAGCCTGTGCTTAAAATTAAATTTAGGCTACATTTGGCATTTAAAAAGACATTCTATAATACAAAATTTTGTTGCAATATACATGTTACAGAGAATTGGATAAAGAAAGGAAGGGGGGAAAATAAGATTTTAACTATCTTGGTATGCAAATTGAACTATGAAACTAAGACCTAGAGGTAGGCTACGAGAACCATTCAATACCTAATAAAAAGAAGAAAAGACAATGAATTTCAAGAAGAGAAGAATACAATTTAGTATCTATTTTAGATATGGTAATTTAGTATCTATTTTCCTCACAAAATTAAATGCCAGGCAGCAAACCAGAACAAGATTGGAACTAAGCAAGCAGTTAAGCATACATAAACTGTGAGTAGAAAAAATCCAAAGATGCAGAAAACACTGCAGAGCATTATAATCAGAGCTTGACAAACCATCCAAATGCAAAACTAAGGGACCACTTACCTGTGAATTTTGCACAAGTACATCAATTGCAGCAAGATATGGTGCAACTGTCAGAGTCTTATTGACAAAATGCACATAGTTTTGGATCTTCTTAAGTTGCACAAAGTTCCTAAGCTCTAACTCAAATTTGCTTTGAGTAGTCAAATCACTTCCTACAACAACAGCATGGACAGTTGGCAATTGTAACTTCTTTTGTTGAATCAATTGCAAGCTCTCATAGAAGGAATGCAAAAATAAGTCTTGACCCTTCCCACGAGAAACACCTGGGGCCCACCAAAGTTCCAAAGTCATATACAAGCAAGCAAAGCATGAAGCATCTGGAACATATTGAATTAATAGAGGAAGGTCTATTCATGATTGAACTACATGGAGGCATGGAGCAGAATATTTTCTATCTATGACGACATAAGTAACTACGTCAGCTACGCCATCGGATGGAAATGTTATTTATATTTTAAAGCACAAGTGCAGGATGTGTAGCAACACCAAACAATGAGATGAGAAATAGAACAGGCTTACTGTTTATCAGAGCAAATAGTATATCCTCATTTCTAACTCCAAGTGACTCACGAACATGTTCCCGCAAAATCCTTTTTGCAACACTATCTTCAGCAACTTCCATTAGCTCCTTGCTATTCCCAAGGTGAACAACATAGGTTTTGGGCATTTTAATCCTACATGTTTAATTTTTAAAAAAAAAAAAAAAAAAAAAAAAAAAAAGGAATAAGCAAATACTCAAAATAAAGACTAGAGAAAATCTTTTTTTTCTAAATAGAAAACAAAATCTCTATCATCTATTCGGTTATATATCACTACAACCACATTATCACCATTATCAACTTACACATTTATCTTTTTTTACTTATCACCATCTTTTATTATTTCTACTCATTTCTGCTCACATTTACTTATATAAACATAACTTATTTGCTTACACTTAAAGTTAGACATTATTCTCAATTTCTCATTATCACACTTAAAACTTGAACTCTAAGCCAAGTTTTAGATTTTGATTGAACTCAATAGATTATTAGTTTGGATATTTTTAGTCATGCTATATCCTAATATAAGTTTGTCCAGATATCGAATATTGAAATTTCACATATATTAGACTTCAAAGTAAAAATTATATATATGTTCCACTCAAATGAATATATCCAAAATATTTTAAATATTAGCTCAAAAAAATATTAATATTATCTAAAATGAATTTTAGGTGAACTTAATAAGTTATTAACAGACTACTTTCCTGAAACGTTTTATCTGCCCCACCTTCCCACAAAAATTTTTTTTGAATCTGTTAAAGTTATCTGGTTATAGAACAAGGTATAACCAAAAGAGACATGAGGGAGAGAGGATCCCTGCTAAGAAACTAAAGAAGGGTCAGGCTCCCACTCTGACACCCTGAAAGAAGTTGCCTTTGCATGTTGAACATCTATTCTTGTACCAACTTAAGATCAAGTTACAAGAATTGGGAAAGCTAAAAGAAGCTCCCAACTCCCAAGTATATCACAACTCACAAGGTAAGAAGTAACAACACACATCACATTATAATCCACCAATTCCTAAAACTGTACTAAACCTCTGTTAGAGAACTGGTCATTTTCACCTTTGCTTAAGACATGAAATGTTCAACAACCTTTTCGTGTACATATATTAGCTTAGTACTCTTAAACCTTTTGTCCATTCTTCTAAGTTTACATGAAAAATAATGTGTATGAGAATATAGTCAAATACTCCAAATTTGGTTCTCCTGCTTACTAGTTTTGATTTCCTCTAAAGTCTTGTATAGTTTTGATTATATAACTGTGAGGTTTAGAGAAAGGTACGGCATACTCAATAAAGCTGAATGCCTCTATGTGATAGAACTGTGCCTCCAAATTATAGTTTGAAAATTTTCCTTTGTTGTTTTATACTACAGTTGTATAAGTGGAGACTAAAGGTAGGTATAATTTGGAGGTATCAAAGGAACAAAGAACAATTGTATAAGCCCGGTAGATAGCACTTGCCCTTGAAAGAAATTCTTGAAACCCTTTGCACCCCTTCTTTCCATGGCAAGGGCTATCTTCAAAGCTTACTAGAAAATGATAAATTGGCAACTGGTGTTCTTATAGCTACATTCCTATATAATGTTCACTCTTCATTTTTATTTACTTTTTTACAAGTAAAAAGAATCTAATGTTGAACTTTCATTACAAACTGAAGTACAAATCAGATATTACAATGATAAGAGCAAATAAAACAGTTGATCATAACCAAAAGGATGAGAAAGGCATTAAAAGCACACCTTAGGCGTTCTGCTGTCCTATTCTTCCAGTATTCTGCTGTTACATGTGAATCAATCATTGCACCAGCAACAAGTGGAAGATGTTTTACATAGTCAAGATTGAAGTAGTGGCCTCGCATTTCATGGATCCACCATAGAACTTTGGGGAGAACACGAGGAACATCATCCTTGAGAACAGCATCCAGCCATTTTCCAGCAACAGCAGTGTTTAAAACAACCAAGTCAGCTTTTAGAGCAGTATCTTTTGCTTCTTGACCCCTCGCAGGGAAAACCTAAAGAGAGGAGATCAAATGCTCAGCAGAACCATGGATAACATGGGATGTATTAGTTAAGCCACCATTACCATTAGGAATCCAATAATTAGAATCTTATTGAAATAGAAATAGTTTCTTTCCTAATCACCCACCATAAACCTAATGAATTGCTTCCAATAGCAAAATAACTACAGTACTACACAAATTTTCTACAAAAACTACCTGGTATAAGTCTATGACAGGCTATTGTGTGTTTGTAGGAGGCAACTTGGTCTCGTGGAAGAGTAAGAAGCAGAATGTAGTGTCGCGCTCGAGTGCAGAGTCTGAATACAGGGCTATGGCTCATATGACTAGTGAAATAGTCTGGGTGCATAATGTTCTAAAAGAAGTGGGTGTTGAAGTGAAGTTACCAATAGATTTGTGGTGAGATAATTGTGCTGCCATACACATCGCGAATAATCCGGTTTTTCACAAGCGGACAACGCATATTGAGGTTGACTGCCATTTTATACAGGAGAAAGAGGAACAAGGACTGATATCTATTACACATGTCCGGAGCGGTGATCAACTGGCCGACATATTCACAAAAGGGCTTAGTAAGAGTCAGGTTTTATATATATGTAACAAGTTGGGCATGTTTGATATCTATGCTCCAACTTGAGGGGGAGTGTTACGAAGTTGTTAGCAGGTTACTCTCAGCTACTCATTTTGAAATTCAAATGAGTGGCTGAGTCCTACTGGTAGCTTGTATATGTAGGAATCCGTACAGTTTATTCATTTGCTGAGTTCAATATATAGACACTTCACTACATAAAGTTCTACAGGAAACTTCCGCTACAGAAAGAGAATTACTCCGTAATACGGTAAACCAAAGAAAATAAAATTAATATAACAATTTGGCTATTGAATTGGTAAGATATAAGTTTGCATCAACTATTTGTAACCTGAACTCCTCGGTCCAGCATTTTGTGTTCCAAACTGTATACAATATTATCTGTTTCAGCTGGCCTTTGATTTGTGATCCAACAGACTTCAGCACCAACACCCCTCAACAGAAAAGCCAGTTCCATCAACAAGAGAGGTCCGCCTATATGCAAATTGAACAAAAAAGTATAAAAATGAGGAAATCATAATAAATGAGATCCACCTTAAGCACAATCTATTGACCACTGTCTTAAAGAAAATTATATATTCTGACAATAGATTAAGCCATCACAATTGTGAAAATGCATTAGATCAACAACAATCGGGAAAATTTTTAAATCTTTCTGCTCAAATTGCTAACTACTATGATAAAATTGAAATATTTCAGTCTAATATTCACAGACACTCAAAAGAAAAGGAGTACCAGAAAGAGAGAGCTCATGTGAAACCAGAAGCACGAGCTTCGACTTCATGAAACTGAGCGGGCTCTGACGTACACCAGCAGGCGCAATCTGCTTAGACACTTCCACATTAGCACCAAATAGCTTCCCGGACCCCACCTCACTGCGGCAATCGCAGGCGGAGTCGATGCCGCCCCTTATCAGAAAGGCAATGACTGTGGTGACGGAGAGCATGACAAGGAGAGCCACCACCATAAGCCAGCGCCGCTTCCGGAACAACGCCGACGTCGCGGAAGAATAAGGAGACTGAAGCTTCGCCATCCCAGTGGTGCTAGGGTTTGTTTGGTGGATCCCAGTCACGATAGACGGCATCTTAGGGAAGCTGAATTTGGCGAGGAGGGATACTGTGCGTACATTTGTCTTTCACAGTCGACACTTGGAAGCTGCGGGGTCAAGGGGGTGTTTGCGGTGGCACTGTGAATCATTCACTTTCCGGCGGGTCGCCGCTTCACCGTCGATATGGTAAACTTTGATTAGATTATTCCTTTGCGCAATTCAGCAAATCTTTTATCTTTTTGCCTCAAATTATCAAAGGCACATTGCTGGATATTGAGAAGAGGGATAAAGAGGCAATTAAGGCCTTCATATAAAAATCAAATAAAATAAAGGCATAATTGAGTTTTTTAATTAAAAATGTTTATATTTAGGAATAAGGGTCAAATAGGCTATTGAACTGCACACAATAATGCAATTAGGCCACTAAACCTTAAAAAACAATAATTAGGTCACTAAACTAACAAAATTCATTCAATTAGTCTAATTTATAGGTTTTGTAGGTTAGTAACAAGTCACCCAAAAATTTTAAAATATTTTTTAAAAAATTATTATTTAAAATTTAAAAATAATAAATTAAAATTAAAATTAAAAAAAATTCTTCGTCTCCAGCCATGGAGATGAAGAAAGTTACTTCGTCTCCGGCCAGAGACGAAACCTTCTTCGTCTCCGGCCGTGGAGACGAAGAATCTCTTCGTCTCTGGCCGGGGACGAAGAGTTTCTTCGTCTCCGGCCATGGAGACGAAGAAACTTTCTTCGTCTCCATGGACGGAGACGAAGAAACTCGTCTCTGGCGGAGACGGTTAAACTTGTTTTTTTTTTTAATTATTATTTTTAAATAATAATTAAAAAATATATTTTAAAATTTGGGTGACCTGTTACTAACTTGCAAAACCTATAAATTGACTTAATTGCATGAAAATGGTTAGTTTAGGGACCCAATTGTTGTTTTTTTAGGTTCAGTGGCCTAATTGCATTATTGTGTGCAGTTCGATGGCCTATTTGACCCTTATTCCTTATATTTATAATAGAGTCAGATCTTTTGAATTTTGGAAAATAAAATGAAGAAGAAATTTCTCGTTCAATAGAAATAATTTTTTAGATAAATAAGTGTATTTTTGGCATAAATAAATAAGTGTATTTATCAATCAGTTTTTTCATATCTTTGAAGTAAATTAGATATTAATAAAGAGTTTCAAAGACCTTGTAGTCAAGCGGCATGAAGCGACTCTCTCAAGTGGTGCAAAATTAGAAGCCACTCTGTCTTTTCCATAAACATGTGGGGCATGACAATGAGTAGCTCGAACTCCTGCAAAATTAGAAGCCACTATGTCTTATATAAACATGCGGGACATGACACTCGGGAGACCCGAACTCCTGCAAAAGTAGAAGCCACGTTTCTATAAACATCTACTTGAAAAAAGTGACCACTATGTCTCTATTGTATAAACATCTACTTGTAAAAAGCATGTCTTTTAGTTTATGTTGATGGTGTTTTCATTATATGGGTCTCTCTTCTATAAATATCTACTTGGAAAAAGCAGATCTTTTGATTTATGTTGATGATGTTGTTATTACATTAGATGATAGTGAAGGAAACTTACTTGAGAAATGGTTGATTAAGGATTTCAGTGGTTTGTTGGATTACTAAGGGGGTGTTTGGTTAGAAGTAAGGAATTAGGGGGGGAAGGAATTGTAATTCGGTGGGAAAGAATAAGGTGAGAATAAAGTAGAAATTCACATGATAGTGTTTGGTATGCAATAATAAGGCATGGAATTGAAAGGGAATAAGTGATACAATGACTGAAATGCCCTTATGTAATAATAATAATAATAATAATAATAATAATAATAATAATAATAATAATAATAATAATAATAATAATAATAATAAGACAGCTAATAGGACAAAAGAATAGTGAGGGTAAAATGGTCATTAACCTATTTTTTCTTCTCCCTTCAATTCGCCGAATTGTAATTCATAGGGGAAGGGATACAAATTACAATTCAGCATTTGGAGGGAATTGCAATTTCCTCCAACCAAATGGCGTAATTGTGGGTTGTGATGAATTACAATTCAACTACGACTTAATTACGTCAAACTAAACAGCCCGTAAGGGAACAACTTGCAATTTCATGGGTTCATTGTTGTCTACCTGTTGTCATGCATGACAGAACTTCACGTGATGATGAACCTGGGGAACGAGATGATGGTCCGGGGGATGAGAAGTCTACTTGATGATCTCCAGTGGCAATACCATCCTATAGTCACTTTTCCAATCTTTTCCAAAATCTCTTAGGGGGCGTTTGGTTCAGGTTATATAACATAACCAAGGGAATGTGACATTCCAAAGCTCATATTCCGGTGTTTGGTTCATATTATCTGAGGGAATCTAACATTCCCAAGGAATGTCACATTCCCTCCACATAGGATTTTGAAGGGAATGTGATTCCCTTCAAAATCTTAGGTAATGTAAGATAACTTTGGTTATGTTAGTTTATTATTATTATTATTATTATATATATATATATATATATATATATATATATATATATAATTATTTTTGTAATTATATATATTTTTTATTTTTATTATGTTATGTTAGCATATAAAATAATTTTGTTTCTCAAGTTCAAGATTTTAGTTAATATTTTAAAATCATGTAATTATATATGATACCGTTATCTTATTTATTTATTTTAATTTTTAAATTTATTAAAATATATGAAAATATGTTAAGGATATTATAGTGTATATAAAAGATAACCCTAAACCAAACATCATTATATTACATACCCCAACTTTAACCAAACACAGGAATCTAACATTCCCAGTAATCTAACATTCCTAGCAATCTAACATTCCCTAAGGTAATCTGACATTCCGTGAACCAAACGACCCCTTATGGTTTAAAAAAACTTCAAATTGAACTTGTCCTTCTTACCCGTCCTTATCATTCCTTTAACAGTTAAAACTTTTAGCATTTTCTCAAGGATTTAATTGATCAAAAAAATAATTAATGATCAAATTGATAACTTTACTTATAGTTAATTGATCATTTCGGTAATTAATTATTTTAAATATTTTAGATTAAGAATTTAAAATAAAAAAAAAAAGAAAAGGAAAAAGTGAAATAAATTTTTGCCCCGAAACAAATGATCCGGGCTTATGAAGGGGCATTTTGGTCACCGACTCATTTTAAGAATCTCAGGTGAGTGGTAGAACTCCCGGAGGTGGTGCGCAGTTCAACGCCGGCGAACACATTCTCGGTAAAACTTTCTTGCATTGGGTTTACTCGATTGATGCGGAATTTATATGCAGTAAACTAATGCTTAGCTCTACATATCTCATCAAGTTTCTGGTAGTAAAGAAATCATGACATAAGCACTCAATAATTTATTTATCATTGTTTTTTAATATTTATTGGCAGGAACTGTTTGGCGAAATGCCTTGCATAAGAAATTGCTTAGACAATAATGTGCATCATATACTAATTACCGTCATGGCAGGTAATTTTGTGATATCAATGGAGAAACATTTTGTTTAGTGGTATTCATCACTAGTTGTTTGACATTTTGGTATAGTTTACGAGTTTCATATTTGTTGCAGCTGTTCTGTTTGAGGCACTCGGGGCTGCTTCGGTTGTTGTGCCAAGTACCGGGTGCTATGTTCTTGACAATTCCAGCTACATTTATGATTTTGTATCCTTTGTATTTATGAAATTCTTACTGTGAAGAGATGCATTGTCCATGAATCTTGGACACTGCTGGTTGTGCTCATCCATTTTGAGAGTCATAACTACACTGGCATTGCTTGAATCTTAATTAGCTTGTTAGAAGATTTTGTTATTTGATTTTGAAATATGTTTTCATTTGTATGTTTGTTCTTCTTAAGAGCTAATTGTATTTCAACATTTTTTTGGGGTTGAACTACACATTAAGCAATAATGTTTTTCCTAAGCTGCTTCTTAGAGTAGCTGGATTGGACATTCATTTAATTATGATGGGCAGGTAATGTTATAGCCATGTAAACTGCTGTGACTTCTGCCAAAAGTATGCAAAATATTATGGTCAAAGCTAGTGATTTGTAGTACTTTGCACTTATGATGGTTATCATGTAGGGCACTGACATGGTGTTACGGTTTTGTAAAGATGTACAAGCCAGATCACAAGGGGTATTTTATTCTTTGAACTCATATTACTAATTAGATAACTATGCATGCACTTTCTATTTTTATTGATTGGGGTTTTCATTTTTCAATTGTTTGTGAACAAGGATGAAACTTTTCTCTTGATTTACTGTGGTTCCAAACTCTGGGATTATTTTACACCTTGGGAGTAAACTGTCTTCTGTAGATAGTATACTCTAATGACTTCTCTTTCCTAACTCTTCATAATAAGACCAACTTTTTACAGGAGAACAGCTCCTTGATGTTCTATATTTCATGTGGATTAAAAAAAATAAATTAGATAGAGGGTGTGAAGGGGGAAGAGGAATGATTTGAGCTCCAAACTTGATCGAAGTTAGAGGAGCATTTACCCGATCTGTTGTCCCCATGGCCTGGTTTCTTGAAGATGCTATTGAAGCTCATTTTGTCCTTTTTAATTAGTTTAAGAGCAACCAATTATTGAATTTCGAATAGCTGGTTGTTTCTTATTACTTTTTCTGACAAGAAGGCTGCACAAATGTAGTTTCTTGAGTAGTATTCATAGAACTCAGCTTTGCATACAATGAGCTGCAATTTCTGTGTCAGAATAGAGAGCTCAAAATAATAGGAAATTTTACACTCAAGTGACTTGACCAATGAATTTGCTCTGCAGTATATAAGCAGGGAATGACAGATTAAAATTTCTAAGTCACATTTTCATTGATCAGGATAATGATGGTATATCTAATGCTTATGTTGCTTTGAATGCTTTCATAATTTGTTTTCATATTTACAAAACTGCAGGGGTATTTGGATTTTGGTAGATATGATAAGTTCAATTATTTTGTAGCTGGTTCTGGACAAGTCAACTTTGTTCAAGTAAGTCACAATGCTATTTCTTGGTAACTACTATGCAATATAATAGTGTAGTTTCCACTGTTCACTTGTTGGCATGACAAGACTGCACAGAAAAAAAGCTAAAACATCCCCATGTTCAACTTCCTTCGGTGTGGATGATCCAAAACCTTCCATGGAGGTTGCTTGTATCATTTTGACTTCTTTCTAATGTGGATGAATTCGTACTCTCTTCTTTTTTGGTTGTGGCTAATATCTCCTCCTATTTATCAAATAAGAAATTAAGGAAAGGATCAGGTGATGCTTTTAGATAATGGATTCCTGATTCAACTTTAAAAGGAAAGAACTTAGTTAATAAAATAAGAGGTAGAAGGAAGACGTCAAGATGGTAGCCTTTCCAGCATTCATTGCGTTCTTTAGGTAAACAGAAATGCTAATAGTTTTTGTCAGTTTTAGGTATTAGGAGAGTTCTTTGGCATGTCTATTTACTAATGTGGTTGAGCAAATCTAGCTTGATTGAAAATCATTATCAACTTACTTAAATCCTTGTTCTTCTTCCTCCTTTTTTTTTTTTTTTTTTTTTTTCCCTCAATCCAGGAATATTTCAATGGTGACCTGACTAATTGTGAGCAATCTTATGATAAGATGGGCCGTACAGCTCAGGTTCCTCTCTCTTTCATTTTCTTCCCTTTCTGCAGTTTTTCCTTCTCTATTGGAATCACATCGCATTCACATATTCTTTTATACTGTGATTTATTTTCTTCTTTCCTGTAGAGTGCCTGGGGGGAGGGCAGTGTTTTGAGTCTGTATTGTCTGCTTAACCAAGCATATAAAAAATACGTGCACTGCTAAAATATTTACATGAGTTTTCCTTCTCATCCTGAATTTGTAGGTCAATATCATATGTGGAGACTGCCCTAATGGAAAATGTAAAGGTATTATCAATTAAATAGATTGATGAACAACAATATAAAGTATAAATTCTTTCCTGCAGTATTCTTTTGTCTTTGCCTGAAGCCATTCTGGAAATACTTTTGGTTTCTTGAAATACAGGTGGACTTGGATGTATATGCAGCATCACTAATGAATCTAGCTGCAGGTATTTTAATGAATATAAAATATTATTCTATTTGGCTTTGCATAATTGATTCCATCTAAACCAAATAACCAATAATCATGTCTAAGTACTTGTAATATGGAGCAACTGCATTTATGTTTAATAAAAAAGGAAGTGGTTGTTAATCTTTTAGAAGATCAGATTTTTTGCCAATTTATCTAAGGCAAGTTTAGTGACTTTTTATGCATGTGCAAGTGTGCAACTCCACAAAGTAATAAACTGAACCTGAATGAAAGTAGTTCTCATCACAATACTACCCTAAAACAATGGGAACTTGTAGCACCATGTGAAACATTGTATTTATAGTCTCTTGTTGGATGCTTAGAAATTAATGGAGTATAGAAACTGTTAAGAGTCCCACATTAATAAAATAAGAGAGAACATATGGGTTTATAATGCTATGGATTAGACTAGCTAATTGATTGGATTCAATCTTTTAGTGTGGTTTGGCCCATGTGCATTATAGCCCAATTAAGTGAACCACCGGGCCCAATCTTAGATTATAACATAAACAATATCCAAGTTTGGGTTTTTCCATTGCTGGCAGAAAGTCCTTTTAAAATTTATCCTCTATCTCCAAATGTTCACAAGCCATTTGAATGAAGTCATCTTACTTCCAAAGATCATAGCAAAGCGATAGATTAGTTTGAGGGGTTTTAAACCAAATATTATTGGGTTACACTTGTGTGGGACTGTCTGAGATGGGTCGGATCGGGTAAATATGAAAATGTAATACTTGTACAGAAAATTGTAATACTAATTATGAATAAAGTGTTTGTTACTTATAAGGGAAAATGTAATACTTTTACATTATTTTTCATCAAAAGTATTACATTTTCCCTTATAAGTAATATTGGCAAGTGTTTGTTACTTATAAGGGAAAATGTAATACTTTTAAATCAAAATGTAAAAGTATTACATTTTTCTTCAAAAGTATTACAATTTCCCTTATAAGTAATAAACATTTTATTCCTTATTAGTATTACATTTCCAGTATAAGTATTACATTTGATCTTGACCCGATCTGCCTCACGGATCACACAAGTTTTGGCCAATTTTATTTTGTATGTTCAATTTCTGAATTTATGTTTCTATTCATGACTTTTGGACCAGAACTATAGTAGAACTTGCCATTCCATGTGACAAACCAGGCGAACGAGTGTTTAAAGGCTTCACAGTTGGTTTCCATCCACGGAAGTGGGAAATTGTAAGGAAGCCTTTTCCTCCAAATGATACTTCAAAGCTTGTTCTTACACTGCTTACAAAGTGAAATCCTTGGATGAACTTGTAGGTTTACAATGGCATGACTCAATTAGGTTTTGAAAAAGCTTATAAGGAATTCAGGTATTGGATCTGTTGTTAATTATTTGTCACAAATCTTTTGTTTCTCTTCCATCAGCAACTAAGATTTATGTCTTTCATATTTTGCAACTGCAATAATGTACGCAAAAATTAGACCCTAAGAGACCGTTTGGTGAACTTTCTTGGCAACTTAAAAGGTAAGAAAGTTATTACCATGTTTGGTGAGTGCTTTGACTAGGTAATGTTTGGGTCAACTAGGAATATAATTTCTTGAAAGGTGGTAAAGTTATTCCAGGCTAGGGGTGGCCTGATTCATTTTCTTATGTACCTGAGAATGTGTAAATTTTAGTCATTTACTTTTTTGCATGTAGCAAGGGTATATTGGAGATTAAGAAAAAAAAAAAAAATCTTTGGAAAGTTTAGACAAAACAAATGCTTGAAATAACTTTACATGGAATTTAATTGTTATGTTTCAAGGGTAACACCAAACATGTTATCTAATTTTCTTAGCAAATACATTCCTTGGAATTACCTTTTCAAGAATTTAATGGGTGGGAAAGCAGTCAAAGCACCAAACGGCCTCTACTCCATAGTCTAATTTAACATGTCAAGTACCTTTTAAAGTGCTTGGCTGTCTTCACTTCCCTATACTATCAATATTCTTAAGAATCATATGCAAATTCCAACTATCTCTACCTAAAGGTAATAAATATAAACTGTTGATTGATTCCCTATCACTATACAGCTTCAGCACGGATCAAACTCAAGTAGACCTTTATATGACTGCAGTTGCATCTCTTTCGAGTTTAGTGCAAAAGCCAGTAACTAAGGTGCTTTGAACTTTCCTTCTTTTGTATATTTCAGCTTTACTAAATACTGATTCATCTTCCCACACAATCCTCCAGATTTCACCTGACCAAGGTTTGGAGGTGAAATTATCAGGCTCAGCAACAAGTGGAGAGTCACCTACAACATTATCACCAACAGTCTTAACTATTGATTGGACATGTATAAGACATATATCTCCAACTTATAGGTTTGTGAAGTAAAATAATGATAATTGATGATCCTCTAAACATCTGGTTATTATCTTCAGGTGAAACAGCTCGTGACACGCCATATGAAGTTAACATTACCATTCCAGTGGAAAGCTATGATCCCATTCAATTCACCCTTACTAAAATGTGCAGTAAGTTTTATAGAACTTCTCTTCTTCTTGCTGTGTGTCTTTGCTTCATCATGTACATGTACTTCTCACTGCATGATGATATCTGTGAATCCCTTTGTATAAAGTTCAGCAGATTAAACAACTATTTCGCCTCTAGCATGGTTTTCAAATTTCAACTATCCATTCCACCACCAATTCTCCAAAGTTGTTGCAAGACTTTTCCTCCAACTCAAAGTTGGCACGGAAAATCTTGTCGATTATTTTCTTTTATTTTTGTGCATGAAAATTGGGGCCAAATCATACCATTGATTTATATCTCATATTTTGAAACTTAAATGATTTAGAGAGCCAAAAGGAATAACTCCCACTAGTTTATACATACACACGCACGCACACACATACGTGAAGGACTGAAGGGTAAATTTGGCTTTAACCTGCATCTTAACGGAAGTGCTCTAGCATGCTTTCTTCAAAGGGTTTGATTCCTCCTGGTCCTTTTTGCAGGTGACTTTAGTATGTCTTATTGTTTTGGCACATATCTTTTGTCTGGATTTCTTGGTAGTCTTGTGCTGCACCCTCTGCTTTTGACTGTTCTTATCTTCTTATTAAGATTTAGTAGTCTGTACTAAATGACATGCTTGCTTTGTTTTGCTGTTAGTAAGTTCAAGGTTCTCTTAGAAAAATGCAACACTCGTTTCATAATACTGTCTTGAAATTTATATTCAAAGATAATGTCTTGATTGTAACTCTGAGGCTGCATCCAACATAATAGATTACTGAAAGTAATATTGGAGATGAAATCAACTGCTCCATAGTTGCTTCCTGCAGTTAAATTCTGGTTCATGGTCTAACTTGTGATTCTTATGTTTTAGCGGTGGGTAGTCAAAGTGAGAAAGGAGATGGTACAAGAGGATGGACAGTATTTGGAGTGATATCTTGCGTGTATGTAAAGATCCCTATTCTATTCAGCTTCCTTCATATGACTAATAATGACATATTAAGGCGAAGTTTGGTTCATGTAATAGGCCAAGAATGGAATAACAATCCATGGAATAGACCTATAACCTATTATGTTGTTTGGTTCATTTTCTATTCTATGGAATGAGCTATTCCCTTTACAATGGAAATAGCTTTTCTCGGGAGGGACCATGGAGTGTTAATAATAGCTTTTTTTTATAATATTGAAAGTACTGTTTTCCATATAACATATTATATGCTATGTGTATATGTGTGCATATACGTATATATATGTGTGTGTTTGTATGGGTATTTTTGTCATTTGGTAGTTTATTCCATTTTTATTTTAAAACCAACTAAACATTGAAATATCATTTGTTTTGAAATCTTGTTTCTATTATGTATGCAAACCAAGCAATGGGTATAGTGTTTTTATTATATTGTGTACCCATATTCCATTATTCCATTTTTTCTGGACCATTATTGGTATTCCCTCTGTTTTCATTCCAAGAACCAAATGTCATGTAAGAGGCTATCTGCAATTCTGCATGTATTTTAGTTTGTAAATTGTGCTTCATAACTGGCTACTTGAAGGATTTTGACCATTGCTAGCATATATTTGAAATATACATTTATGTCAATAATGTTTGTAGTTTATTTTACTAAGATGAAATAATGATATCTAAACACAACGACATGGAGCAGGTTCATTGTTGCCTCAACACTGCTGTGCTGTGGAGGGTTTATTTACAATACACGAGTGCAAAATCAGGTTTCTCACCTTAATTTGCATATAGAATCAAATACTCAACTTCAATTCTCCTGGCTTTTGATATTCTTTTGTCCATTTCTTAACGTATATTATACATCATGTGCAGCATGGTCTTGATGCGTTGCCTGGAATGGCATACTTATCCGCATGTTTAGAAACAGTGAGTAAAACATACTTCTATGTATTTATTTCAAATGCTCATTTTGATTAGGTTGAATTTCAACCCATACTTAGTAGTGGTGACTGCAGGGTTTTTGTTTAGTGGTGTTAAAATTCTACACACACACAATATTAAATAACATTGAAACAAGTGGATGCTTAGTAGCTTACCTCAGTTAACCATTCTTTGTTGTTTAGGATTTTACTTATTATTTTTATGTGAATGCCGAAATGGATGAGAGCTTAAAGCTTAAGGAGAGAAATGTGAAGAGTGAAGAATAGAACAAATAGTTGATAGTTGATACGTGGGATAGTAAATTAGGAAAATGGTCCAATATATACTATCGATGAGAAAGGAAAAAAAAAAAAAAAGGCTTTTTTTTCTTTTCATAAAACAATTGTAACTTATGGCTGTTTTAAATTTGGAATTTGAAACTTTGCAGTTGGGTGGAGTAGGCCACAACTACACACAGCCAGAAGATACCAATAGATCTTTTGAAAACCAGGCTTCATGGGAACAAAACTCAGATTCTACTCAAGGAACCTGGAGAACTACTGAAAGAACATATGGGTCAATTTGATGAATTTAAGGTCATCTCCTAAATTCACAGACTTGCCATCTCCTGGAGTCCAAGTGTCACAAATTAAAATTGCTTTCGAAAAAGAAGGAAGTTACTAATCTATCAGGTCTGCATATGAAGCGTATCATATTTTCTTGTTGCAGAAGAAGTTGATGAAAGCATATTAGGCATAGTAAACCTCAGTTTTGGCCTTTCTTGCATTATGTTTGAAACATAGATCTGCCAATTTGGCCTAGGTGTAGATGATCATCTTAAAACCCAATCAGGCATTTACTTTATTTCATAGTGTACCCTTCACTTGATACTTTCTTTTTGGGGGTTCTTTGGTCTTCATACAGTGACATCATTGCATTGAAATTAAAACTCTTAGGTGTTATCTTGAAATGTCCTAAAACAAAGAATTTATCATATTTTGAATGAAAATGTTAAAGGTTAACAGAGACTTGAGGACTTTAATCTCTGTTATTTTCTGATTTCTGATTTACCAATGGAATACACTCCAAGTTACTCCTAGAAGCTTGCTGTGAGATCATCTGCCTGACATAGCCATAGAATGTACATCCTATCAATGTCACTACACATCCAACGGCGTTGAAAGCTGAGATGGGGTTTCTGAATATCAACCAGGAACATCCAACGGCAACCGCAACCTTAAGGTTTCCAGCAACGTTAAACGTGACAGCAGTCGTGGAGTGGATAACGTAGAAGATAGAGAAGTTGAGGCAAAACGCCAGCACCCCAGACCCAACAATGATACCACAAGATGAAAGAACAAAAGGGTGAGTGTTTAAGTTGAACCATTCAATCACTCCATACCCTTCCACCACTAAAGCTGGTAACCCCAATATCATAGTTGCAAAAGGAGACATGTAGAATACTGTGTTTATACTGTCAAACTTGTACCCATGCAACAAAGACTCCGCTAGAATGGTTTTGGTCGAAGTTGCAAGACAACCCACCAAGGCCGCACAGAACCCGAATATGTTGAAACTGAGCTCAGTGATAGAAGCCAGGAGAATCCCCCCAACAATGGGGTTCAAACAAGCCCAGATTCTCCAATCAAAGCGTTTCCCCCATACTAGCCCCTGCAAAATCACTGTAGTTGCAGGTGTGAATGACTTTATGGTTTGCATGAAAGAAACTGGGATGTATCTCAAGCTCACATTCCCCAGCACAATGTTGACACAGAACACAAATGACATGGGAAAAATCTTTCTCCACAGATCCCCAGGGCTAACCACAATTAGTGGCTTAACCTTTAGAACTTTGATCACTATATATGCCCCAATAGCCGAGCAGATGAAGTGAATGCAAGAAACTGTGAGGGGAAACTTGAAATCCAGTTTCTGAAAGATCCACTTGTTCATAATGATGACCGCCACATTGAAGAACCACCATTGAAGGATGGCGATTATGGATCGAATCATACTCCACTCACACACGAATCTGTTGCCCATATCTTGTTACTGGTATGATGATTTCTCTCATGTTATTGTATTATTGGATTTTTATACTAAAGCAAGCATGCTTGAGTGCTTGCTAGTAGGAAGACTATAATTTTATTTTAGCAAATTAATAATTAGATTACCTATTAAATTGTTTAAATTAGAAAGAAAATAAAAGTGGAAATCACAATTCAACATATATAATTATATCACCTATTCGTGTTAATATTAATTCAATTCATTAGCCCGGAGCGTAGATGACCCTTTTGACAATAACAATTAATTTAATTCAAGCAAAAATTGATTGGTAATTTGGTATGTTCCATAAATTTGGATTTACTTGATATTTTTTCCTAAATTCGATTTCACTATACACACATTTTGGGTCATGCTTTCCAAATGTGTATTCCCTTATTGGATTCAATTTTTTTCTTTATTTCCTTATATAGTAATTAATTAATATATTTATTTTGCTTGATTTATTTCCTTATATTTCAAAAAAAAAAAAAAAAAGAAGTAGGATTTGTTTTCCCTTTTAATTTAGTTTTTTTTTTCCTTGTGTGTATTGATAGATAGATATATGTATATTTGTTAAAAAAAATTAGTGTCCTATTTTTTATTTTTTAAATTAATTCATTATACATATACTTGTGTATATTTAAGGATATTCTTGTATCGTATTTTCTGAATTTTTTAAATTCAATGTAATTTTAGTTCTACTGAATATTGTAATGTCTGATCTCACACCACAGATGAAGAATGCATGAAATAATTAGTGATAGTTTTTTTTTAAGTACTACTAACCCTATTACAATATAGTATATGTCCATAAATACTTTCTCAATCTATTGAAACATAAAGAGTCAATGAACATAAATATTTAATATATTAAAAATGACATATTAGTGATCCATTTTACGATTGCATCATGGTTAACGATTGAGGAAATTGTACATAACAGTGAATTGAAAAAAATTTGAGAATCAACCTTATTATTATAGGAGATTAGGAGAGATGCATCCGCGCATGTAGCTTAACTAGTCATAAAATTGAAATTTATAATCTACAATTCTAATAAGAGCCAATAATGTTAGGCCCTTAATTGGAACAAAAAAATGTCGGTCCTATTGTTTCTTAAAATGAATGGTTCATATTATACTATTGTTTCTTAAAATGAACCTATTGTTTCTTAAAATGAATGATTCATATTATACTATTGTTTCTTAAAATGAATGGTTTATATTATTTTTATTTTAGTATTTTTTTTATTGATTTTCCTTATTTGTCCTCTATTATATTATTTTCTTCCCTTAAATAACCTAAATTCCGTTAGCATAAACTTTAGTAACGGAATATTCCGTTAAGTATTTATTATTTTAACTTATACATTAATTTCTATAAGAAAAGTCTTAGTTTCGAACCACATCCCAATTAGAGTTGGCATAATTGTTAAACATATACTACGAATATGTTAAAATATATTTAAAATATATATAATATAAAATTTAACATAAACTTTGTTCAAATAATTAGTCTGACTAAATACATAACATTTAAAGTTAAGCATCAAAGATTATAAATCAAGAACTTTAAAAATCATTTGATCAAAAAAAAACTTAATATTCTTTTGATTATTTAGATCAGGAAAAAACTTAATATTTCAATTATACTTTTGCATTAATATTTTTTGTATGCATTTAAAAAAAAAAATCAATGATTGCATTATTGTTGATGAAAAGTATATACGCCACTTTATTACTCTTATTAAACTAAATAAATTAGTAGCTACAACAAAAAATAATACATATGCATTTAATTAATTTAGAATTAGATGTCTATAATGCCTTTATTTAAAAAAAAATTCATTATAAAAAATTTAAAAATAGATATAATTTCATTAATTATATTATCTTTATTTTCTACAATTCAAAGATTCATTACCTTCAAATTTATCAATTTATTATATTCATTGCATTGTCCATTGTCTTTTTTAGTTTTTTTAGTTTTTTTTTTTTTTTTTTTTTTTTTTTACATTATCTTGTAATTAAATATCAAAGTTATAATACAAAATACATTATATATATTTATTTACCAAATATTTTATACAAATATAATAAATATTAATATTTTGTTCAATACTTTCACATGATAACCTGTGACACACATCTCACAATGCATGAAACATGTAGGGAAAAACTACCATTACCAAATATCGATTAGAAAATTCAATAAATATTATCTTGCATTTATATATTTTGAATTACCGATTTAAATAAACAAATTCAATATTTATTTACATATGCATGAACATCTCCGATATAATATTGCGTTGGTATACTTTGAAATACTTATTTAAAAATAATCATTGGGCATTATCCCATTCGCGCAAAGCGCGTAAAAAAACTAGTAAGAAATTAAAAATTAATTTTCACCCGTGACAGTATATAACTCAACTAGTTACAGAAATAAAATTTATTGATAAGAGATTAAAGATTAGATTCCACATTTTCTCTAATTATCTTTTGCAATTAATTTCAGTAATTGTTTTGGTTAACTCGTAAGTTGTAACCTACTAAAACCTCTGCGGCTCACATTCACATTCACAGGCGGCCTAAACCCTTCAACTGCCACCGCCAAGCAGCCGTCCAGCCACCGCCTTTCTAAGCTTCCTCCGCCGCGCTTTTTATGAACCTCTTAAGTTAACATTTCATCGCATTTCTTGAAACATGAGGTGGTGTTTTTCCCGACTGGGTTCCCAATACCTCATTCGCCGCCGTTCCGAACAAGTTTTCCGGACCGGAAATCTGACCCGTCATTTCCACACCCTGCGATCTTCGCTCTCAAATTCCATTCTTTCGAGAACCCACTCCCTAATCGCCTCAAATTACACAACTTCAGCTCCGGAAACTAAGCCCATTCCATCGGGGGCAGTGTTGGGCATCGTTGATGAGATTTCCGGTCTCACGCTGCTGGAAGTCTCCGATTTGACGGAGATGCTGAGGAAGAAAATGGGGGTTGAGGAGATGCCGGTGATGACGATGATGATGCCCGGAATGGGTTTTAGTCCCGGAGGTTTGAAGGGCAAGGGAGGCGCCGGAGCTGGGTCCAAGGCGGAGGAGAAGGCGGAGAAGACGGTGTTCGATTTGAAGCTGGAGGGCGGGTTCGATTCTGGGGCGAAGATCAAGATTATCAAGGAGGTGAGATCTTTCACTGACCTTGGATTGAAAGAAGCCAAAGAATTGGTGGAGAAGGCTCCGGCAGTTTTGAAGAAGGGGGTTACTAAAGAGGAGGCTGAGAAGATCATCGAGAAGATGAAGGGGGTCGGTGCAAAAATCACCATGGAGTGAGCTAGGTAATTATTCACTCTTATGATTCATTCAATGTCATAAACTTATATTGTTTTGGTTAAAGAAAACAAATACTCCCCTCCAATATTCTGTTAAATTTTAGGAATGTAAAATTAAGGTTATTGCTTCAATATCAGATGGTTTGTTTGAAAAGCTTTCATCTTTTGCTTTAAGGTAATTGTCACAAAGCTTAACTGAAGCATTCTTTAGGATGGGCCATGAAAAGCTGTTTTGATAAAGAAAATATTGCTGTAATGGATGGATATGAGTATAGGACATGCCTGTTTTTCTCCTCCTTTACCCCCCAAAGTGTGCATTTGAAGAATGTAAAAATAAGATGCATATTGCAAGATTAGTGAGCTTGATCATCGGATATTTTTGTTTGGAAAGTGGTCATATTTTGTTTTAAAGGTAATACTCGCAGAGCTTAACTGTCAAACACTAAACGGGCTTTAGGATGATGGATCATGATTTATTGTTTTCGTTAAGGAAAATATTTCGTGTGATGGATGCATTCCCCACCCAATGTTCTGTTAGGATACATGTCACTACTTTAGTGAGCTTGAACAAGCTGTGATCTTTTGATGATTTTAAGGTAAATACTCACAAAACTTAGCTGAAGCACTCTGTAGGATGGGCCGCCATGATACATTGATATTTTTATATTATCCTTGGTTGTTATCCAATGAGGTTGACTCAATCTAAAATGTTATATATTTTAGTGTCAGTGTTTTGTAAACATTTTATTTTAAATCGCACTGATTAGGTTGATAAGTAAGCACAATCTGCCAAAGGTAGTGTAGAAATATGGGAAAGAAATATGAATGGCATTGGTTCTGTGTTCTTTGCAAAATTTGGATTAGCCTTTGCATATGATGTTGTATTAAGCATTATTATGGCATTTGCTGAAAAAGTTGTCTCATATGTTCTTTCTCAAGGCCATCTTTAACATGATTTAGCAACACTGCATTATTTTTAAATCTCTGTACAGTCCCTTGCACGAGTGAGATCAATGCTCAATTGGAAATTTTGTTTTCTTCAGGCGTAGTATCGTGATTCATATCTGTAAATTTGCTGATGAATTTGCCGGTAAGAACTTCCCTAGAGGTGCTGATACTTGTTCTTTGCATTTTATCCAGCATCTTCAACTGGAGCACAATGGTGTTATACAGATTGGCATTTGGTGGTGTTTCACTGAGAGAGTCGGACTACACTTACTGTGATCAAAGTCATCAAACCGAAGTTTTTGGTTTTAGTTTTACTGACCTAGAACTTACACCTTTCACTTCCTCTTCTTATATTTTCATTTATGAATAATGGAAACCACATTGAAGCTCTTTGGTTGGAGCATTACTGCCTTTCTGGTTATGGAAGTGGGGACTTATTCATTGTCATGACAGGATTGATGGAATATTCTGTGATTATCTGCAAGTCTGTAACCTGTATGATAGTGACATTTGATGGATTAAAGTAGTACTAGCAGCAGCAGCTTATACCACCATTTTATTTTCTTCTTCTCACTCTGTTGTTTCATCTTAAAATCTTAATCAATTGGTGGTGATGGTAAGAGCACCTCCATAATGAAGGGGCTTTTCTTTCCAAGGTATTTTATGGCCCCAAGAGCCAAATAGGATTTAAAACAATCTATAGAGCTATATGGACCATATTATGGACCATATTATCAAATAATGTACACTCAGTGCACAAATAATGCATTTTAGGAAAGTATATTAAAAATGTAAATTGTATTTAGGAAAGTATATTATTTGATTACTAAAAGTATAGTATTTTGTGTATAATGTATGTTCAGGACACAAATAATGTATTTTTAGTATATTAAAAATGTATTTTTTGTTATAGTCCATATAGCACTGTGTAGATTATGGTCCAACACAATAATTTGCAGACTTTTAAAAAAAAAAAAAAAAAGAGTGGTTGTAGATAGACAATCACTTTAAATTAATCATAAGTTTCACTCATTTTACTGTTAAAGCAAGCAAGACTTCTAAAACGACCATTTTTTGAAGGGTAAAAAAAGTTTCAATTTTAGTAAAAAAGATTTTCCCTTCTCTCTTCTCCAATATGACTATTGCAACGCGAGGTACTTTGCTACACATTTTCGAGGTTTGTAACACTACTCTAGAATTTTCTAGCACTTGTATCTAATAGTTTGTAGAATAATCTAGAGACGTGTACATAACACTAGAGGATGTAGAGATACTTAGAATATTCTACAATCCTAAAAAATCTTCTTAGTTGTGTAAGATTATTGGAGGATTCTAAAAACAAATCTTAACTGTATGATCAAATAAAACTCCATCATCCATTAAGGATGTGGAATGGATATAAATACCCCAATTGGGGCTCATTTGTAATCAACCCCTAGAATCCAAGCAAGTTAAGTGCCCACCGTCCATTAAGGAGGTGGAATGGATATAAATACCCGTCTTGGGATTCATTTGTAATCAACTTCTAGAATCCAAGCAAGTTAGTGCCCACCATCCATTGAGGTGGAATGAGTATAAATATCCCTCTTGGAATTCATTTGTAATCAATTTCTAGAATCCAAGCAAGTTCAAGTGCCACCATCCATTAAAAAGGTGGAATAAGTATATAAATGAGTCCGCGACACTATGCCCTCTTTCTTCAATATCCATGTATCTTCAAGAATCTGAATTATTTTTTTATGCCCGCATGGGTAGCTCAACTGGTCATAGAGGTGAAACTTTGGAATAATGACCAGGGATTCTTGCGCAACCTTTTGGAATAATAATGAATTATTTTTTAATGGAAAAATGACACTTTTTCCCCCTGAGTTATATACTTATAGCACTTTTCCCCCCTGAATTATTTAAGTGGCTCTTTTCCCCCTAAAATGTTAAATGGACATATTTACCCTTAAAATAAATATTTAAAATAAATATTTCATTTATTTTTCTTCTCCAACAAATTATTACTATAATTTGGTTCAAACCAAACAGATATTATAGCAACCAAACCAAAATATTCCAATTACAATTTAGAATCAAAATGCGATATTTAGAGTTTATTAAAATCGCAAATCGAAATGGCCAGTTCATGTTCCGAACTGAAAAAATAAAATACATTTAGTGTTGAATTTAGACTATTTTAAAATAAAAAATAAAATAAAATTTAAAATAAAGACGGTTCAAAATCACGAACCGGATCTGAAACCGCCGGTTCACGGTTCATGATCCAGTTTTTTTGGTTCATAAATTTAATAAATTGAAATCTAAATATTGGATTCTAGATCTGAATCATAACCGGAAACTTTTAATTCGATTGCTAGTGTCCGGTTCAGTTCGAACCGAACCGTGGTCATTGCTACATATATACAATAATTTGTTGGAGAAGTAAAATAAATAAAATATTTACTTTAAGGGTAGAAATGTCAATTTAATATATCAGGGGAAAAAAACCACCACTTTTAAAATAATTGAGGGAGCTAATGTGCTTACATAAATAATTGAGGGGGAAAAAGTGCTATAAGTATATAACTTAGGGAGAAAAAGTGCCATTTTCCCTTTTTTAATTTAACAATTACAAAGGCATTTATTTTAATTTTTAATTTTACCAATTTTTAAACTACATAGATTAAATTTGAATAGGATGACTTTGGAAAAGTGTGACCCACTTCCGAAGCTATATAGCAGAATGGTATTTTTTTGATTAGGCACGAAGATATATAGCTGAATGAGTGAGAATTTTCTTGATTAGACACCAACCGAAGCTATATTGCAGAATGAGAATTTTCTTGATTAGACACAAATCAGAAAATAACAATTTCAACAAGAGTGAAGTTGTAGAACATACATAAGGTTGGTTCACACAGCAGAAACGGGAAAGGTACAACTTGTCTCCATTTACATACATCAGACAGCAATAGGTGAATCTGCACCAGATAGTGGTTTGTTTGTTGACAACAATGGACTTCCACAATTTTTTCTGATTCTGATTCTGATTTGAAATATGGTAAAGCAGCTAAGCTATATCCTTGACGAGATGAATCAAACGACACTGACACTTGTTGCTACACTTTATCATCATGAAACCACCACCTCGTTTCCTTGGGTGATCGGCCATTTTTACAATTCCTTACATACCGATCATTATCTTCCGGGCGTTGCTGCACAAGTTGAAAATAGCTATAATTTCTTTGCGAGTTTTGAAAGAATAAAGAATAGGGGCAAGAAGTTAGCTAATGATACAAACTTGTAACCACAAGGTCACGAGTTCGAATCCTAGCCTCCTCCTTGATTTGAGCCTGTCAACTATGGACAACCTAGGATGGTTTACCTCCATGTGGTCTTTTGCCGGCTAGGGTCACAAGGCGGGATTTACCTAGTGCACACCCTCAGGTAGTGGCGGCAGGTTTCCCCCATCACCCAAAAAAAAGAAGTTGAAATGCAATTTTCAGGGGATATGTGTCAAATTTTTCCATTCTTCTCTAAGATGTATTTGATATGCCAATCTGAATTCTGAAAGGTCTTCTCATGAAAAAAAAAAAAGACAATTGATGAATAGCATTACCTTCACAGTAGAGCTAGATAGCATGGACAGAATGCTGATGCAAATAGAACTAACAGTCATCGCAGGGGACCATGAGTCGTACAAAATATCTGAAAGACACAAAGAAGCAGTCATCAACTTGCTACTCTTAGATATGTGCATTTATAAACAGCAGTATAGATACTTGGCAATGAATATGCAAGTCGGAAAAAAAAAACATCATTAAACTTTTGATTTCTTGACTACAAAGTTAAATTTTGCTTTTGGTCCCTGTGGTTGTGGATGGAGTGGTCCCCCAACTACAGAAAACTGAACAAAAAAATCCTGCAACATATCAATGGAAGGACACCGTTCCATTCCAATAGTTGGGGACTAAATCTGGATTTCTACTTAAAATTGAGGGACCATAAGTGGAATTAGTTATTGAACTAATATATAGCTAAGTTTTGAATCTTTCACTCAAGAACCCAAATGTCAACTTTGGATGTAAATTTAATGCTTTTGTTATTAAGATTCAATCAATAAAACTTCCCAACTCAACAAAATGGAACATGTGACATAAAGTCACACTGGATTTTATAAAGAGCAGAAACCAAGTATTTTATTGCTTAGAGTCATCTATGTTCCAAATTTCAAGGTAAATCTGCTCTGCAGCTTGTTTAGTGGTACTTTAAACCAGCACATGACTATCATGAAAAGGCCTCCCTTTTGCAAAGTATTATAGTCTCACTATCGATGTCTTTGAAGTTCATACAATTGTCTCAGTTCTTTGACAGAAGCCAGAAACAGTCAAAACAGAGCTCTGTTTTTTTTTAATAGAAATATTTCTTAGAAAACCCCTTCAATTTGAACATGATAATGACAGATAAGTTAAATAGAACACAACTTGAGCACATGAAACATATTTGGAAGATAAAGACAGCAGGTGAAATTGCTATAAATGACAAATAAACAATACAAGAACAAAAACTGAACCAAGATGAGGATGGAACTATTTCTAAATTAAGATATCAATATAAAGCTTGGCATGCGACAGGTGTGGATAGTTATAACTCACTTGGTCCTAAAGTGGTCTTACAGGAACCCCATTCAAATCGCTAGTTTCACACTTGAGAAGCCTACCCCATCATTACTCTGAATCCAATGGACAGAGCAAATTTGACATCAAGAATATTGCTCATTTCACTAATTCACAGAAATTTGCAGGTAATAGTAACTACTTGGAACTCAAGAGTAATGCGTGTGCTATATAAATACTCAATTGAGATTCCACATCATTTCAAAATATGGATCTGTATAAAAGGCTTACGCATCTTAATATTAATTAATGTTCCCTTCATTATTAACTCAGAAAAAGAAGAGGACACAGCCATGGTTGGAACTATATCATTTGAAATTCATGTTGAGAACTAATTCATTCTTCCATTGAAGTCCTTAGCAATCCTGTAGTTTGATAGACGTAAACAGCAATCTCGACCTAATTCCAGAAATATTTTGATTTGCAACATAGATTGCTCAGCTTGGGTTAAGGAAAACACAGAATGGATTTGAGGTCTCATGTTAGTAAACAAGTAAACAACAAAACTAGTCAGGACCTCAAATAGACAATGAGTTTTCCCATAGAATCATTTAAATACTTTGCTTTATCTTCAAAGCAGACAAGACAGGCATGCTGCACAACAACAACAAAGAAGAACATGGCTTTTGAAGCTAGGACAAGCCTTCATAAACAATCTGAGGCAGCATGTAAGATGTTAGCAGCTAGAGTTTTTGCCATATTTGTCCCTCATATTTCCTACGTTGATAGTTTAACTCACAATTTAAAATTTTCCTAGTGGAGAACTGATTCCAAAATTTCCCATAGTCCTCTGTCACTCATGACAGCAAAGGCCAACAGAAAGCCACAACACACATCCATCACATGTGGATATTAGTTAAAATGTAAAAATTACCATTCCAATTGATCGGCCCCAATAGTTCCAAAAGTTCCCAGTATAGGTCCCCATTGTTCCCAAAGTTTCCCCAGTCAGTCAACTTTCCCAAAGTTCAAGTCTTTATATGCAGATAGTCAGATACCTAACAGTCCACAAACCTGTTCCGTGCATGTGTATATACAAAGATTTACCTAAACAAATATGGCCATTGCTGTAGATATGTGGGTGCAGTGGAGCTGGAGACAAAAATATCACCTGCAACATCCAATGAAGACGCTTTATAATCACAACTACTTTACCCAAGCATTTTTAGAATGTCAAAAATGAAATAATATGGCAAGTCCACCTGAGGAGCTTCCATAGGGTAATGCTCAGGAAAATCTACTTGAAGCTGATACGTCTCATTGGCATACAGAGTACCAGGAGCTCCATTCACTTCAACCACCCACCTTTTTGTAAAAAACACAAAATTCACCCAAATTGATTACCCCATTAATTTCGCGGATATAATTTAAATTCGTTAATAGGAAAAATAAAACCTCCAAAAATTGAATACTTATTAATTTTTTTCTTATCATTTTTTTAAGGCGGACCTTTGAAGATTATCAGTGACCTTGTGTTTGAAACCTGAGGGTGGATTGACCTGCCACTCCGCCAGCTCTTTCTGGAGTCTGTTAGAAGCTATCTTGCTCAAGGTCTGTGATCATTCAATTCAGTTTCAGTACATACGAACATATATTCAATCGGAATTCAATAATAAATTCCAGAAACAATCGAATCCAGAACGAGTAATTTACATATATAGACAATCATCAAACATACATATTTATATATACGCTTATAGAGAGAGAGAGAGAGGGAGAGAGAGAGACCTTGCGCGAGGAAGTGGCGGAGCTGGTCATGGCTGGGGGCGCCGTGTTGACGACGACGACGTCGTTGATGAAGCAGAAAGGTGGAAGAGAAATATATGAATTTGTCGTGCCTTCATATAGTATATGAGAGTAAAACAATTTTTTATCGTTTATTTTTTCATTCTATTATGAAATATAATACGACTATATGAGTAAAGAAAAGAATAACAATAGAAAGCAAGCAATTAATTTATTCTCATAATAATAATAATGTATTTATATAGGCTATATAAGGATGATAGAAATAATTTACAAATGACACTCAAAAGTGGAAAACCCACCAGCTTCTTTGGAACAATATTAAGATATAAATATCAACCAAACGCATTCATGATTTGCATCATAAATTGTCAAAATTTTTACATTGATAAATTCGATTCCATTTGTGGCTGTCTATTGACCTTATTGATTAGAAGTTTGAACCGGAACCTAAGCTGATTTACTTCGTTGTAATTTTTTGCCGATTAGAGTCACACGATGATATTTATTCAAAAAACTCTTGAGTAGTGGTTGCGAATTTTTTCCGTGAATCAAAGAAGTATATCTTGCTAATAAATTAACAACAAAAGAAATATCAAGACGTATTTTGTCAAGATACATTAATGCTCCAATGACAATAAGATGTGGTACTTATGGACCAATAATTTATTCATTTTTCTTACGATGCTTAAAAATATTCGAGTTTTTCGACGGGTAACCAAATAAATTCTCAATAATTTTATGAATCATAATGGATTCAAGATGGCCTAACCAGTCATGTCAATCCCTAACGGGGCGTTTGATTGAATAGAGTGAATTAGGTGAGAATGAAATTGTAATTTCATGGGAGATGGGGCGTTTGATTGAATAGAGTAAATTAGGTAAGAATGAAATTGTAATTTCATGGGAGATGAATAATGTGATAATAAAGTGATAATTTAAAAGTTCTCTTTCCCGACTTATTCTAAACTAGGCATAACCTGATGTTTACATATACCAGAGTTTCTCACTGTGCAGATGCTATTCATAACACTGAGCAGAAGAAAAGGAACTTGCAGTAAGAAATTGTTTTAGGAAGGAATATCTTATCCACCAAGTCAAATTCCATCAAATATGCACGATTAGCATACTCTTGTTTATAATCACAAGTATTGCATATATTCTTAATACATCAAAATTTCCCATGTCAGAAACCAAGACTATCTTTTTTTTTTTTTTTTTGTTTATTATTTATAGATGGATGTTCTGAAAGCTAACAATTTTGTAGACAAAAGACCATGTTTGGTAACATAGTTAACTTATCAGTCAATTTTGACACTTATTTGACCACTATTAGTTGTTTGACTTGGTTAAACATTCAATAAATCAATAATATAAGTGTTTGATTAATTAACTTTTGTAATAGCTTATTGCTCCAAAATGCTAAATTCAAAAAGCTATTCAAAGCAACTTTTTCGATTAGCTTTTTGAGAAAGTCATTTTGCATGTAATCAGCTATAGCTAACAACTAATTTACCAAACATCTTTTTACAATCCGCTAATGCTATCTACTAGTCAAACCAACTAACCCAATCAGCTAACAGCTAACAACTATTTACCAAACACCCCCAAATTCAACGAGTGGAACATTTGGTAGTATAACTAGGTGAGTGCTACATAACAAGCAAGAAAGAAGCACAGAATAGAGGATATCAGTTTAAAATAACAAGCTATGAGGCTTGAATTGCCTGTAAATTAACTGTCATGAGTAAATAGTGGAATGCATAATTTTGAAAGGGCAAGGCAAAGCTACACATGTAGGAAGAAAAACAAGGTACAAAGCAGGATAGATTCATAGTTTATTTAATATATTCATCTGTCAATACACAAATGAAGGTTTTCCGGAAGATTAACATGGATGTATGTGCAATATGGAACCTTTTAATATAAACCGCACCTCTGAAAGGCGAGTGTTCCCAAGATGCATAAATTAATCCTGCCAGCTTTGCCTTGGTGAAAGACCATAGCGCTCGTTACATCAGTATTGGAGGTGATTCTACTTGGTAATCTAGTCTAGTGATACATGTATTTAATCAGACTTTATGGGTTGAGTTAGTAGAACCTCACTGTTGAATGGAAAAGGAAGATGGCAGAACTTTATATGGATTGAGAATTCCATTAGGGTCAAGCAACCTCTTGACAGAAGCCATTAGTTGCACCTGGAAAAACATGAAGGATGTGTCATCAAAAGGATAATTATAGAAGGAAAGATTGGCATATTTTGCTTCCTTTATAAAGAAATATAGATCCACATGGTCACAACTTTATGTTTCTAGAACTTCATCCAAAAGATGTAGATATATCCACTGGACCACAACAAAGATGTAGATATATCCACTGGGCATATGCATCACTAACTTGGGCAGTATGTACTTTATTTTTCTTTGGGGATTCATTCTGTCATATAAGAAAGTCAATACCGAATAAAGTGTTTTACTACTTAGAAAAATGAAATTGTACCCTGTGAGTGAAATTTACAAGGATGCTCCCCACTCTCCCAGACAGAATTCTCAGGTGGAAACATCACTTGTAGCAATGACAAATATGAAAACATGCATGTATATTGGTCTTACAGTTTCAGGAGACTTGCTGTAATAGATTTTATTGGCCTTCATCAGTCCAAGCCCATGTTCAGCACTGATGCTTCCATGATGCTTAGATGTCCACTCATAAACAAAAGGTTCGATTTGTGATAAAAGCTGTAACAAGATAAGTTTGTCTTATTTGGTAAGTGAACATTCAGTACTAATGATGACCTACTAATCAATAAAGCAAGGCATGAGTATTACATTATCATCATATTGTGGTGCAGATATATTTAGATGCAAGTTTCCATCCCCAAGGTGACCATATGCTACTACTTTAGCTTTAGCATCTGCAAATTTTGTACCATGTCAGGATTAAGTATAATTCTTGATGTTGAAATTCAACACTTACAGATGATATGATAATGGACCAAAGCTAGGGAACTATTGTATAACAATTAACCAGTGAGTCGATATTCCAGTCAACATTGCCCTCACATTGAAAGTATGTATCTTTTAACATCATGCTACGATTTTGACAATGAATTAATTACCTAGACGCGTTCGCATTTCCTCAACTAGATCATACATCTTTTCAACAGGTATTGACAAATCATATTTGTATACAGCTCCTGCTTTCATCAAAGCTTCAGGTATACCCTATGGTAATACATTTTCAAGTTACAAGGCTAGTAAATTACCAAAATTGGTGAAAGAAGCAAAGAACAATGCACTATACATAAGTGTAGAGTAAATAGGAAGCACCTCGCGAATATGCCAACATGATGATGCTTGATTTATATCTTGTGCAACAACTCCATCAGTTATCAAGCCAGTTTCCATTGAATGCAGCAGGAAGGCCTCCAATCTCTCCCTAGAAACCAATGCAAGTCCAAGAGACAGAAACATTTCATTTAGAATGCTCTGAAGTAATTTAAGAAGAATAGACAGAAATATGAAATAATCAGACTTATCAAATGCTGAGTACCACCAATTATAGAAGAAAAGCATCAAGTCTACAATATAAAAAAGAAAGTGCAGAAAACAAGACACTGAGCCACCTAGATATAATGCCACAAGAATCCAATTTGGTATAGAGGTGTATATAAATGAGATAAAAAGAATTATGTAACCAAAAGTAAATGACACACCTATCATGCTATTATTATTCTCATGGTAGCTGAAGGAAACAAAACAGTTCCTCAAATTATCATGGACTCATAATTTAAGGAAACACATAGAAGATACTTTAAACTCATTGCAATAATAACAGAAAAATAACCGTGGAAATATAATGAGCTATTAAAGTAACTAACAGAGAATTGGCTTAATAGAAACAAAAGAACCAACTAGAGCACATCAAGTAAGAAGGTTAGAATAAAGTTACTTGTCATAAGTTTCATTACTCCCCGTTGTCTCTATCAGGACATAGAAGTTGGGTATAGAGGATGGTAATGGATTACGAACACCTTCTAAATGTTTCAGAACCTGATGCAAATAACACAATAGATAGGGCTAAATTAAGCCATTCCATGATGTCCTGTATTACATGTTCATGTCATTGGCAAGAAAACACAAAAGAAAAGAACAAAGAGAAGTAGTTGGAATTTGGAAAAGGAAAATTCTATCACTTGGAATTCATTTTCCTGGAGCACTAGAACTGCTGAAATGTTGTATATATAAACCATCAAGGAATTTATTGATTACTTAAATTTAATCAAAGAAACAAACAAAAAAATATATAACACTGCATATTTAATCAAAGAACATTACATTTTAAAGCTCTAAACTAAGCTGTGTACGACTGGAATTTTGATTCCCTAAGTATCACCTTTATTATTTTCTCCAATTCATTGGCCTAAATTTTCCAGCAGAGACTACTGTACAATAAAAAAAATTCGGTTCTTGGAATGACAAAAGTGTGGATAAAATCCAGCAAATATATAGATAGCATTTATAAGGAAATTCCTGAAAATATTTATCCAACTGCATAATGGTATCTTGAGGCAGGGACAATATGGAAAGAGAAAAGAGGATAAAGTGTACAAAGTGCACCAAGAAAAGGTATCCTTATTATTGATCCTCCCAGTAATGAATAGGTTAACCATTTCCTAACGAACGAAGTGTGTAAATTATGGGTAAAAAGAGATCTATAAGGCCACAATAAGGGGAAAAGGGTTTCATACTTCAACCATGGGAAAAGAGCAAGAATTGGTTCACCACACTTGTTGATATAAAAACCACTCTTGGGTCATGAGAATGCACATGTACATCACAGAAAGCTCACCAGATCCATTGCATTGGCATCCAAGAATTCAAATGCAGAAAGAATTTCCCCAAGCTTCGTTTTTGCTTCCAACAAGAGTTTCTATGATGAGGAGCACCAATAAAAGGACAAAATAAGTAAATAAGGCAGTAACTCATCTAAAACGTCATGCCCTATATAACCTAAAAATATGATAAATGTAGAAAATAGTGCAGTTCATTTAATTCAAGTCTCAAAGTAGTTGCAATAAGAAAAATGTCATAATTTTCATGTCTAATTCAAA